GTGAACCTTGTCTGCACCTCGACTCTGTACAGCTTGCCAAATTTACCTTTGCAAATTTTTGGTCTTTGGTTTCATTGTATCAGTGGTGGATGCTGGTCTGTCAAGGAGGGGAAGCTCAATTTCGGCCTACATCATAAAATGTGTCCGTTTAATTATACGTGAATTCTACTCTCCGTTCCTTTTCAAAAAAATTAAAAGGATGCCTTCACCATAAGATCGGTGATTGGCTCAATTCGCTGTCAATCAAAAAGAGATTCAGCCATGAAGAAAAGCTGAGCTTCTGCATGCCCACTGTCCATAGACTCTCAGAGACGCTAAGCGTCCAATGGGCGGGACAAAACCAGCATTTATCCAATGACTCGTCTCGTTTCAATGCATTGTGACAACCTAAACTGAACTCTCTAGACGCCCAGTGGCGTTCTGGTTCTTTGTGGGATGTAATGCAGTGGTCCCTATTTTTTATTTATTTACTTTTTGTGTCACGGAGTGGTTGAGCCAAGTACACAAGGCTCGCAGGTCTGTCTCTGTGCGGCCCGGTCCCAAGCGGGCCAACGCCCAGGTCCGGCCGGCAAACCGATGGTTGGGGACCACTATAAGAATGCACAATATGCAACATATGCAATTGTGACAACTGAATTTCCTTTCATTTGTACATCTATTTTTTTTTTGTTTGTTTGTTTAAAAAAATTGATTAGGGTCACCGTGAGCAAGATTTGCTGCTGACTTTGGGCATTGACAAGTTACTTTGAACTGGCAGCCAGTTAATTGCAGAGCACATGCTGTCGAGGCTGCCAACCATTCAGACTCAACATTCACACCTATGCACAATAAAGAATCTTTAATAAACCTAAAATGCCTATTCATGGTTTGTGTGAAGAATCAGAAGGACACACCCACCATCCTCCCCCGAGGATTCACACAAGAGGGCCTGAGCTGCCATTCAAAGCAAGAACTCATCCGTTTTGTTCAGTAAAATAAAATTAATTAAAATGTCGCATTGCAACTACATTAATGAAAATATGAATGCGCATACAAATGGTCAAGTCATTTTTTGACGCGTCTTCCCCACTTGTACTTCAATTACCTCCCCTCGTCTTATCTGTCCTATTACTTTTTTTTTTCCTCAGTCTGTCCCTGGCTCCCTTTGTGGCCTCCTCTTCGCCTCCCCCTCGTTCTTCCTTTCACTGCCTGTTATCTCCAACGTGCAGTTGACTGCTTCTGTCCTCTGGGTGTCAGCACTTGCCTTATCCTCCACTCAACCATACAGCTTTATGTGAACTCGCCACCCCTGTTCTGTCAGCATTTTCATTTCCAAGTATTTTCTCACTCCGCACTCTGTCATTTTAGCCACTTCTCTTTCCCCGATCACGCATAAACTCACGTCAAAACACTCAAAAATCAATCAATGTGGAGCAATTGTACACAAGGCCTCCATCCTGTGTGTGTGTGTGTGTGTGTGTGTGTGTGTGTGTGTGTGTGTGTGCGTGTGTGTGTGTGTGTGTGTGTGTGTGTGTGAGCGTGCATATGCCTGCATGCCTGCATCCATGTTTTTCTGTGTGTGCATGTGATTTTACGTGAATAGGTGTGTATGCGTTAGTAGTGAGGGCACTAGTTTGGTGGCAGATATTGATTTTGAAAGCTGGTGGAATTTGAGCTGTTGCAGGAGATAAACCATCCACTCATCCCACTGCTCTCGATGGAAGCATAAGATGGATGCCAAGAAGTTAAATAATACAGGAAAAAAATCAAAACAAAATGCTATGCTGTACTGAACAACATATATATATATATATATATATATATAGGTCTCACTCCCTGAAGGAACAATATACACCTCTATATTTATTAAGAGGAGGGATTTACAGGAATGCAGGCGTTTGACAATAGGCATGTGGGTGGGGATTGATGAAATTCTGCAGCGCCCGGGACCCGGGATGCGTGGATACAGAAAAATCCTTCAGAATGACTGAGGACATACAGAAATGTAGTTTTCAAGGAAGACAATACGAAGCTACTTTCCAGTATTGAGGAAGAAGAAAAGTCCATCTTGTCATCATCGTCCAAAAAAAAATATATATATATATAAAAACGTATCCCACAGAGAAAAAAGAATCTTATCTCCCAAATGGAGTTACCTCCTCATTTTTCTTGCTTTGCTTAAAGCCTATGCTTGGAGTGACCGTCTGTCCTTCATTCAAAACTGCAGTTAATCTTCTTTTCATAATGCATATTTGTTCACAAAAAATAACCATCATAATTCAAAAGAGCAGCTGAAGGTTGTTCTTCTGGATCATGCACTCTTTGGTTCCCCAAACACTTGGGAAGGTAGCGCTATGTTTGTCATCTTATCTTCTTTTTAAAAGTGAAAACTTTTACGTTTCTTTTCTTCAGACAATGACGTGGATTTGGGGGAAGATTTCAATCTCAATTGCAAAATCAAGTAATAAGAATGTATTATTTTACTTCCTTGCTGTGCCATTTATGCCATTTGGCACTTTGTCATACCTTATTGGATTTGAGTAAAATAATATTTCATGTCGTGTTTTTTTTTGTTTGTTTGTTTGTTTGTTTTTTAATCAATTAAGTTACGTGATGCACACGTTAATATAACAGCGGCGCCAAGAGTGTGCTCCCTTTTCTCATTTCCTCTCTGTTTACATTTGCTGAGTGTAATTTGATCAGTGGCCAAGAAAACCCAGACTCCAAAGCACTAGATGGTGATCATGTTTTCTTTCATCTCTTTGAGCTGCGACGTTTTTTGAACCTGTACAATGCTGACCGGTTACAGAGATAACTGTACATCTCCTACATGCAATATTTGTTTTTTTGTACACATTTGATCTTCCTCGGCTCAGGTTAATGTGACAGACATGTCCTGGAGTGTCCCAAGAATACTTGACTTTATGCTCACAACAGCGGTAAAGCACCCTTTTGTAGCACTTGTGTAGATAAAATTGCAGTTTTGTCCCTGTTTGAGACGTTTCCACCACACAGAGATTCTCAGTCTTCAAGTCAAGCTTTAAAAGTGACGTTGTTTAATCTGTCACATTTTAAAGGGGAAGCTTTTCCTTCCATCTATATTGATTTTAGAGTGTTAACTCCTTTGTGATGCTGCAGTATAAATTTGTCTATTGGTCCATAAATGAGTATTGGTCGCCATAAACAGGCTCACTAATCAAGTTGAAAGAGAATAAAAACCTATCGCCTCTCTTGTGGCATTGCATTTAACAACAATAAATGATTGGGCCACAGTGCAATCAGATAAATTAAAAACACAATTATTATTTTTTTCACCCCTCTCATACACACCAACGATCTAAATAAACAATTTCACAAATTGCAGTTTACAAGTAAAAATTTGCGTTTTGCACCTGAAGAACGTAGATTACGTTTACATGACTACTTGGGTGAAGGCCAACGTTCGAACTTCTGGAACATTCGGAATAAACTGTTTACATGAAGGAACAGACAGAGTTACTCCCGGATTTGAATAACCCGATTTCAACAGCGACGCACAGGCATCGTGACGCAAATTTCTGCTTGTTATTTCCTACCTTCAACAAAACATTTCATGTCACTCACCACAGGAATAAAGCAGTCGATTTCCTCCTTGCTCCAAAATGTGCTTTTGTGCCGCTTTTTGACCTGTGTGTGTGTATTCCCGGCAAGCTTTGCCCCATATGCACCTATGACTTATGCACATGTACATACCTGTGAGTATACACACTGTGTCATTTTCGATGCAGAGACAGAAAATAATGTGAAAACGCCGCGGAGCATGCACAGAACACAAATCAATGCACCGTTCAAAAGGAGGTAACCTGATCCTGTTTACATGATCGAATATTTGCATGAGAAAAGGGGGAACCCGGAGCATATTTTGGGTTGTTGCGCATGTTTAACGAATGTTTACATGGCCTTTTAAAACCTGAATACTGCTGATATTTGAGTTTTTGACTGCATGGAAACTTAGTCATTGAAACACAATACTGCAAATGGGTGTTGATGTTGCAGCCTGCAGAGCTTTTCAATGTTAACGGAAATCATTGAACACTAACGTGTTATGCCAGTAACACGTCGTGATTGTTCCAAATATTAAATAAGAAAAAAAAAAAACATACAAGATTGACTGCCACAACCGGCGATAGTTTTTATTCCACTCCCTCCAAGCAGGAGTCGGGGTGCTCAGTGAATCCCTCATAACCAATCAGGCATGGGAGTTCCACTTCAAGTGAAGCATATGACCCCAACGTGCGTATGAAATTCCAGTGCCCAATCTGTTGTGCAATTCTCATTAGTTCTCACGGTTACTAGCTGGCTACTTCATCACTGCGCAAGCTGCCAGTCACACTTGGGTATGTCAGCCAGCTTGCGACGTAACTCGCTCTGGGTCGGGCCATAGCTTGTCATTTGGGACCCAAGGTAATCGTAACAGCCTTGAAGTATGAGGCTGTTTTGATGCTAGTTTTGCTGGTGCACCAAATGGATGGAATAACGAAGAAGTACCTCAAATGATCTTGACTGGTGTTTCCCCTTGCAATATATAAGAAAATATGCAATACATTAAGTGATATATTCCCATATATGAGATTTTGTATTTGTATTTCACCATATATAGCAATATAAGCATAGACGATATATATATATATATATATATATATATATATATACACACACACACACACACAGTTACAGGACATTGTTTTTTTTTTGTATTGTGAATATGTAACGGTGGTACATGTCATTCTCCAATCCTGAAGGATACAGTATAATTTGTGATGTGAGTATACTGTATGTCGATTTGTGATTCATGATTCATTTAAAGTGCTTACTTCCATGCTCTTTTTCATAAATATGGTTTTCCTGTTTATTCGAATGAAAGTTAAATGACAAGAAAATGTTGCACTTCAAAACATATCTATCAAGCTGCCTTTATTTCTAACTTAATGAGTTTATTTCTAACTCTTGCTACCACTCTCACCCATGGCCTACTCTCTTAGGTAAAGACCTGCACATTTCTCGAAGTCAGTCACTTCGTTCAGTGGACAGTCGTAAGCAGCTTGATGATGGAGACAAGCAACACAGTGGACAGCAAAACCCTCAGACAGGTAAGAGAGTTAGACGGAGAGGTCCCTTGCAGTAGCTTTTGGTTTACCACACACACACACACACACACACACACACACACACACACACACACACACACACACACACACACACACACACACACACAACTCAAACTACTTGCACACATTTCTGCAACTACTTGTTGGAGACATGTGAGTCTGCTTGTTGGCTACTTTTGAGGTATCCTCGAACAAGTCATCTTCCCCACCACCCCAGCCCAATACTGCATCACTCTTTGTACACCTCTGAATCTCTCCCCTGCATGCCTGCATATGTGAGACCTGGTTCTGTGTGTTTTGTGCAACACAGAGTATACATGGGAGTCTGAGTTGAGTTTGCCCGAGAGGAACACTAGTGAGTATGATAAATGTAAAATAGTCCAAATGAGATTGTGTTCCTCTCTCTCTGATATCGCTATTATCACTTTGCTGTGAGACAAAGCGGGATGTTTGTGGTTGAAGGCGCCAGTTGCATCAGGCAAGTGATAATTGCCTGTTCATGTGTGTACATTATGCCTTCGCCTAAGGAGAAAGAGAAACTATTTAGGCAAGCCATCAGGGTATTTTTTTTACTGACTCCTTGCATGCAAGTTTTTGTAAATTGTATCTGTCATTAGTGTCTGTCCGTCTTGTCTACTGAAGGTGAACATTTACACACATATGCAAGTGTGTGTGTTTGTGTGTGTGTGTGTGTGTGTGTTTGTGTTTGTGTGTGTGTGTGTGTGTGTGCGTGTGTGTGTGTGTGGTGTGTGTGTGTGTGTGTGTCCCTGCTTCTTAGCTGTGAATATCTGGATTGTCACTCCCTGAGCAACACTGTATGGGTATCCAGAGCTTCTGACAAGTTAACTGACATATCCTAAGCCAGAGGAGCTAATTTCCCTAAAAAGTAAATGGAGAGTATAAACTGTCTCAGCCACACCAGCAAATACTCGAATATTCCCCTGTATACATTTGAATGCAAATGATTGGTTGATCCCCATTTGTATCTGATACAGACTTTTTGCAGCTTATTGTTTTTAAAGGGGTCATCCTTTTAGGTTTGCTTAGGCCATTGGATCATTTGGTTGGGCAAGTTGAAGTGTCTTTATTATAAGTCTGAACGCTTCCAACACATTTTTCAAAACATATTTAAAATTATCTGTGGAATTGAACATCCTGATCTGTCCCGTAGGACAAATGTGCATGCATCTAAAATGCCAAGAGACTACCCGTCATCACACAAATCCTCCAGAGGCTAGTTCCTGCATGCAAATTAGTTATGGCCCTCTCCTTTCCTCTTCCTCTTTTTCTTCTTCCCCATTCTTGACCCGCCCTTCCTCCTCAATAGACTCAACCTCAGGTGAGGAGTGGTCAGCATGGAGTGTGTGTTCTGCTACATGTGGGGAGGGCTGGCAGAGTCGCACTCGTTTCTGTGTCTCCTCCTCGTACAGTACCCAGTGTAGTGGGCCACTGCAGGAGCAGAGAACTTGCAACCCTGCTGTTTGTCCAGGTAAGTTCCCTTTCCCAGTCCGTCGACCCAACCCTCTGCGCTTGCCAAGCCCTCTCCTTGATGCTTCCCCACTCCTTGTAGCATTCCCAATCTTCTACTTAGGATACTATTCGCCTTCAATGTGAATATTTTTTGGCCTTAAGCTACAGAAAAAGGCTTTCAACAACAACACGCTTGATCAAAATATATGATCATGGAAAAAAATGTCAATGGATTTGACAATAATAATATTGGTGTCGCTACATGCAAATCATACTCTAGCTTCTCTGTTTGCAGTGGCCGGTGCTTGGGATGAATGGTCACCATGGAGTTTATGTTCGTCAACATGTGGCAGAGGTTATAGATCCCGAACACGAACCTGCACCCCTCCCCAGTTTGGAGGAGATCCCTGTGATGGTCCAGAGAAACAGACTAAATTCTGTAATATAGCTGTCTGTCCAGGTGAGACACACAATGCATCTGTTTTCTGTAAAACTTAATGTAACATCTACATTGTGTGTGTGTGTGTGTGTGTGTGTGTGTGTGTTTAAAATGTATTATCAATAAAATTTATTACCATAAAAAATACACAAAGGTACTGAAATTGCTACAATGATTTGAATTTGTTCACCATGGTTCTTCCAGTGCCTTGCAAGCCAGCACCCGCCCATTGGTGTCCAAATCCACAAAGGTACTGAAAATTGCAACAATGATTTGAATTTGTTCACCATGGTTCTTACAGTGCCTTGCAAGCCAGCACCCGCCCATTGGTGTCTGAATCTGTGTGAAAGGGGGGATGCGAATCTCTGTATAGTGCTCTTGCTACCTTATAGTGTTGATAAAGCGCTACATGACTATCCTTGTAATTCGTGATGATTTATATATCCTGCCCCGCATCTCGTGCATTGTGGCTGGACAGGTGGATTTCAATGCTCCTTTTATGGCCCGTCTTGTCTGCTTTAATTCCCCTTCTGAGATGAGCTCTGGCAGCTCTGCACGGAGCTCTGTCACCTCACCTGAAGGCAGCGTTGTGGGCCCTGAGGAGTGTGTTGACTGGGCCGGTCATCCAGGGTTTCTGGTTTGGGAACACCTGAATGTTTTTTTCCAGTCACATTCCCAAAATGGAACTTGACATCGTTTTGTACTATCCTGTGAAAATGTCCAGCTCCTCTTCTTCAAATATGGCCCAGTCTTTCTGTTCAATGCAGTCCTTTAATTTGGCGATTGCATTGTCCGGCCAGGTTCTAACTGTTTTTGTGGTGGACCTGGCATTGTGTCAGAGGTGGGTATAAGCTGGGGAGAGCAAGAGGGAGAGATGATCTGACTGGCCAAGGTGGGGAAGAAGTATGGAGTAAACATGATCCAAGATGTTTACTCCAGCAGAACCTGACATGTTGCTAGAAATTCCAGCGTACAGCTTTTGAATTGAATTGAATACAACTTTATTGTCAAATGTGCTACAAACATACCCTTTTGAGTTTGGCTTATTACAGTTATGGGGACACCATCATCCCACTGCTTGAATCTGTGTAGGGTATAATGAAATCACAAAACTATCAAAGCATTCTGGAGTGAAGTTTGTTGCCCAGTGTCAGAAAGATGGGTCTACGCCACAAGGAATGGCTCTTCCAACAGCATCAAGACATCAAACACAAAAATGGCTATGAACAAATGATGTACCACTGTGCTGCCAAAACGTAATGATACACATAACTCTTGAGTCTTTTTGTGCTTTGCAAATTTTCTTCCCTGACTATTCTCAGTGGATGGCGAATGGAATGAGTGGTCAAGTTGGAGTTCCTGCTCATCTTCCTGCTCTAATGGGACCACACAACGAACAAGAGAGTGTAATGGCCCCTCATACGGAGGTTCTGAATGTAGAGGAGAGTGGTTGGAGACCATTGACTGCTTCCTTGGGGAATGCCCTGGTAGGGGAGAGAACATGTTTATTGAGACTTTTTACACTTTATGCATGCCCTTATATTGTACCCATGACTCCTGTGTATCGACCAATTCCATTTTTTTTTTTTTTTGCAAATGGGCTAACATTGCAAATGTCTTTTCAGTGGATGGGAGGTGGCAGCCATGGTCTTTATGGTCAGGGTGTTCCAAGACTTGTGGCGGTGGTAGACAGCAGAGAAACAGAATTTGTTATGGGCCCTTTTTTGGGGGACAATCTTGCCCTGGAGAACGAGAAGAGGTCCGACACTGTAATGAAAAAAGATGCCCGGGTAAATAAAATCCAACATTCTGTGTGATTCTTTTTCTGTTGGATGTGAGAAATATAAACATGTATATTTTACCCTGTACTGACTTGCAGTCAGGTAAATGTTTTGACACAGTTAAACAATCATTATGACAGTGTCCTCACCTTTGACTGGTAGTTTATCAGATTTTTGTGATGTTCAACAAATTAATTCATATTTTGGTGTCATTAGAGCCTCATGAAATATGTGCTGAGGACAACTATTCAAACGTTGTTTGGAAGATGACTCCTGCTGGAGATACAGCAGCAGTACGATGTCCTCCCAATGCAATGGGTTAGCGTCGGCCATCGAGACACATATCCTACTGTCCAAAAAAACATTGGAACGTAAAATACGCACAGGCAATATGCAACAATAGTTACATCTGTCTCATTACAGGTTTGATTTTGCGTCGCTGCATCCTTGATGAGGAGGGTATGGCATACTGGGAGAATCCAACCTATATGAAGTGCATTTCCAATGATTATCGCAGCATACAAACTTTGGTGAGTTTCATATTTTTAAGAAGCTGATGCAATTACATTTTCCATTATGTGCAAATAGCGGCAATGAGATTCTCAGGCTACTTTGGCTGTGCCTAAAAAATGGTGTCCAAGTAGAACACACTGTGCTGAGATTAAGTCATATGACTCACACATTTCGATTGTACTTGACATCAAACATGAATCGTCGTTCCCTTTCATAACAAATGAGACCAACGAGTGTTATTTGGGATCATATTTAATCAAACCATTTGTCCCTTACTTTTCTGCATACTTATCAGATACCATAAAAGATTCTCTTGTCATTTTCTGTCTTTTTTTTTTTTTTTTTATACTTGGAACAATCTCGATGCATTACGGGCTTAATGTTAGCATTCACTCAGTGGTTTCCCTCACATTTGGCAGCTCTGCGTTTCACCACATAAATGCATGTTTATTTTGTCTCGCAAACTGTGATGCAAAACTGCTTATTTCAAGCCTTGCTTTCATACACAAGGTGACCCTCAGTATATGCATGGGACTACCAATTTGGAAAGTCCTTTCTTCTTTTTTAATTTTTTTTTGTTGAGTGGACATTTTTATAATGGTGTCATGGCAAGGCTAATAAGAGTGACACTATGTGAGGTTTCGTGTTCTACCTGTGTTTCATTGATTTCCGGCTGTTTGCTGAGTACCAACTTCTTAAAAGCATCCAAGGCTTTCGTCAACGCACACACACACACACACACACACACACGCACACACACACACACACACGCACACACACACACACACACGCACACACACACACACACACGCACACACACACACACACACATGCACACGCACACACATACAGAACCTGTGTTATACCTACAGCCTTCCTACCTTATTGAGTAGACGCAATTGTAATGGGGTCTCGCTTCGTGTCATACTTGTATGAGGCCTGTATCTTGCTAACGGAAACCAGATTCATAACCTACTTGTGGCTAGACTAACACAAGTTAGTACATCCTTTTACAAAAAATTGCCTAATTTTCTCTGCCAATACCAAACTGCTCCTTTGACTCTTGTTTGGTGTTTTGTGGATTGAGTGATTGACTGTTGATGTTACCATCTCCAAGATGGCCGCCGAATGCATACACAGTGAGGCGGGGGTGGTATGTAGAGCAAACAATTGAAAATTGAGCCATCAAATTTTAGTCAAACACATGCCAACTTCTTCCCGTAATCTGGTGCTGAGTCTTGTTTTTGTGTTTTACATGCTGTTCTTGCCTTACATGTCAATGACTGAGATCCTACAGCAACAATGCTGGCATCTGATCTCCGACACCTGGGAGCCAGCACCTACATATATTCTGGGCTATTATTTAGCTATTATAAAGTGTGATTGACTTTACCACTGCAGACTACAGACTGCATGATATTGAAAAAAATGCAATAATGAAATATATTTATTCTTGCGGCAAAATAAGTAGGCTCAACGTATTCTAAGCTAATTCATTGTAATCAATGCAAAGTCAATACATTGCAAGAACACATCTCGCGATATATCAGCTACAACCTTTAATAATGCACTAATTTCCCAAATGTATTCCTCTGCGTGTGAACAGATGAATGAGAGGTGTTAACCCGGTTCACTTTGAAGAAGGCACTTGATTAAATTCACTTCAATGACATGAATTAGTTAAGAGGAAGATTTGACGCATTCTATAAGCCTCCCAACGTTACCGATCCCAGCAACAGGCCAACCCGCTCAAGGCAGGGTCTATGTATATTTGATGTCGAGGAGTTGCAATGGACCAACCCACTTAATAAAACATCCATATACATATGACTATGGACTCATTACATATAATATGGGAGCCAAGAGGTCAGTAAAGAGGCTACGTATCCTTCTACTGGCTGTCACATGAACAATGGATCACAAATAGCTAGATGTTTGATGAATTGAGAGAATCCATGTATCATTTGTTCTTTTCATTTCTTTCCAGTTCTTTCCATTTCCACTATTGGTGATCGAAAATCAAAGAATAAAAACATGACTCAATATTTGTTTGTGGATCTAAGACACACACACACACACACACACACACACACACACACACACACACACACACACACACACACACACATACACAGACACACACACACACACACACACACACACACACACACACACACACACACACACGATCAGTTGTGTTTACCGGAAGTGAGGTAATTAGCATCAATGTAGATTGTTAGCTTGTTAGCCACCACAATCAATACAGACCATGACCTTGATGTATCAAATCATCCATCAGCCATATTATATCGAGGACAAATGCTTCTCCCTGTTTGTTTCCAGGCTTACCTGGATGTTGACCTCTTGTCGTATTTTGTGCCATCTGACGTCAAACTGGAATTTACTTTTTTTTTTTTTTTTTTTTACACTGAATATTTTAGAGACGTTGGTTTCTTCAACATCTAATTTAAAAAAAAAAAAAAAAGGAAAGAGGCATTCTATTGAACGATTCCAGTTCAGATTTAGAAATTCAAAATCAGGTGTAGATGTCGTTTGACAAATTTCAATTTAATCAACCATCATGCGGACCTCTCTAAGTTATAATTACACCTCATGCTATGTTGTTATAATTAACAAAAAATGTTGCGGTCAAACTCTTTTTGTCAGACTCGAGAACATTTATCCAAAGCACAGCGAGGCCTTGTGGGTGATGGACTCTCTGAAGTGATGACTAAACTGAGGGTGACTTCCAGTGATGGCACCAGCTACAGTGGTGATTTGCAGGCCATTTTGGATGTGCTGAAGAACATGACTGAGATCTTCAGGAGGGCATACTACAGTCCCAGCAGTGCAGACATGAGGGTAATAACCAGAAACCTGTGTCACATTGTAACCAAAGGAACAATTGTGGCGGATTGATTCGCCAAAGGAACAATTGTGGTGGATTGATGTGCCTCATAAATCCTTGGGGAAACCGAAACCAAGTTGCCATGACTATCAATGCTTTTATTCGATATCTGCTTCTTCTTCTGTCTTTTGGCGGTCGGCAAACAACTTTTCACGTGTTACAGCCATTTTCTGAAATGGAGTGTGGGTCTGCATAATACTAGTTCACAACCTCCTATTTTATCCTACTCTTTCAAAAAAATATACAGTATATTAATTTAAACCTTAATTCAGAACTTCTCTGTAAAATCTCTCTAGTATTCAAAACTACTTTCTGACTTAGCTCATTAATTAGTTGTTGTCTTGCCTGACTATATTCAACACATGATTCTAATACATGCCCTATTCTCTCTGTCTTTCTCTCTCTCTCTCTCTCTCTCTCTCTCTGTTTCTCTATCTTCCTCCTCTTTTGTCCTGTGCATACTTCTAGCACTGCCTGCATATGTTTGAATTATATAAATCCTTCAAATCCTTCTCCTTTTCTTACTTCATTGGTGGATTACAGCTCTTTGATGCATACCGTCACCTACTGCACTGGGAGCACAAAGCGTTTCCATATGTAGTCAAAGCGGCTGTATTCAGTCCCGCGAACTAACACACATGAGGCAGGAGCGTTTTTCCATCAGTCAGCAAAACGGGTGACCGCTAGTGACTGACTGACAGACCTTCCAGACAAAAACGAATTAACGAAAACCCGCTTCCATCGGTGCTTTCCGTCCATTTTTTATTTTTTTAGTTTAGTTTCTGGTCATTCGTCAGCAAAATGGCCATCAGTACTGACCCTCTGTCAGTACTGATGGAATGCCCACCTCTCTGTTTTAGTATATGTATTAATTTTTTAACGTAATATCAATATGGGCTTGTGTCAAAAATGGTCATAATTAAATTGTCACAAGATTTTTTTTATTTATACATTGGAACTTTAAATTGTGTAATAGTACATCGTAAACTTTCTGATTTGTCAAATATTTTATGATGAAATATAATTTTTTCTGTTCTAGAACTTTGTCCAGTCACTTAGTAATCTACTAATGGAAGAAAACCGAATGCGATGGGAAGAAGCTCAACTGGTAAAGGTCATTTTTATATATTTGCACCTTTTTGTAATTGCATACAGTGCATATATATATATATCATCACATAAATATTTGAGATTGTCGCAACAATATGTTTTGAATGTTGAAAGTGATATCATTAAACAGCTTTCAATAAATGTTTTCTTTAACTTTTCGCCTTCACTTGAAGCTTCTTTAAAACAGATGCAGTCTTCAGGTTGAATAGATCACTTTATGTGTGCTGTTTTTATCTATTTACATTTTCTCCTCACGGTATTTTGCCAGATAGTGTGGAAACGCCGCATCTTCCATGTTGATTGACACAAACATACTACCGAGCTGAGAGCTATTTTGTACATCTGAAAGGTGCAGTCCTCAGTGCACAATAAATCGTGTTGTACTTTGATTTGCGTGTGCTTACTGTGCTCTGTGGTTTCCAGACTACACATAATGCTTTTTGTATATCTGGCCCAAACACTCTATCCAAATGTTTCTGGCTTGGCGCTTCTTTTTACAATTTTACAACCCATTGTTGTCCGCAAGTCAAAAAGCTTGCCACCCCATGTTTTAGGCCACTCACAAACACTGACAAACATGTGACGATCATTATTTTGTTGAATTTTCTCTCCACTTATTAATTTGCCTTCTATTTTGCTGTCCAAAGTTGGATACGCTTCACTTTAGCGAACGAGACCCCTGTGAAGTGTACTTCGTCACCCAATCACATTATTCTGGTCTGTCATGATAAGATTGGGTTAGCTTAGCAATTGGCATGGTTTCTCCATCTTTTCCTCTGTTAATTACTCAGAGTAATCCCTGAACAAATATGAACAATGATTGAAAGGAGTGTATCTTATTGCCAGCAATGCTGGCCGTGATTACTGACTTAGGAGCGAAACCGCTACATTTTTAGCAAGCATTAGAAGCCACCCGAAGCTTGTTGCTAGACTTGCTATAGCTAGTTGCTTTGGCATCCTGCTTCGACCAACCGACTACTCGGCTGCAGATGACACGCTTTTTGGGGTGGTCTCCACCGTTCAATTATTGGAAAAATGTAAACATCTGTGAATCTGAGTTTTGTTATCCTTTGTGTTTTTATGAAGCAAACTGCTATGCTTGTGCAATTTGAAGGTGTACCCAGCATGCCTTGAGGAACTATTTTTTTGGAAATAGTTATTAATAATTCCAGGTTTCTTCTTGGTAGGTTAAACAGCGTCTTCCCTCTCGCCATTAACTCCCTAAACCGTAACCCAAATCTATCGTGGGTCTTTGCATTTTTGCACACCCCAGTGGAACAGTATATCGCACCAATCATTGTAGCTCCAGCTCTCTTCATACTTGAGCAGTTGTCGTTGATCAATATTCCACAGCACTAGACACTTTAAAGTGCTCAAGGACTTTCTGTGTAATTCCACACCTGAAACTGTACTACAATTACTGCTACTGGTCACTTAAAAATGGTGAAAAACGATTATCTGCACCAACTGAACAGCCGTCATCGTACTGGATCGCACCACTGATCACGTTATCTCTGCTCGATGACTCTGTACACTGTCGCACAGCTGTCATTGGGTGGTACCACTGCACAATGGTCCCCTTACATTACGGAAAGTTTCTCGATACTTATATGCCATGTCTTTGTTTATCGTAGTTGCTTCTTATTGCAATACAAGTGAAGCCGATACTACCACAAACAAATTCCTTGTGGGTTTTACATACTTGGCCAGTAAAGGTGATTCTGTTTCTACTTATGATTCGAGTAGTAATATTCATTTTTTGCATTCACTCAAATTGTTTTTTAATAATTGTCATTGACTGTGAAATTTAATTTTGCACCACCGGTCATTGTGACTGATATGTAGGGCGACAATGGATATGATTCACTTCCCAATATTGTTTTTCAGTTCCACCTAGTGGCAGCTGTGTGGCATAAGATTGAAAGAGTTTGCCCATCAAATGAAGCTTTGGCATTCTAATTACATGCAGTTTGTTGCAGATGACAAATGACAATAGATGTGATCGTACAAAAGTCACAGGATGGATCGTCTTCAGATATACGGTATATACTGTATCGTAATATCGCCCAGCTCTAGCTGTCTGTATGGTGTGCAAAAAAAAAAAAAAAGTCCATACTAAGGTATAAGTTAGATTGCCATTCAGAGAGCATACTTGTTTTGAATAAAATATGTCTTTTGTTGTATTTTTCATTGTCTCTCACAGCTGGGTCCAAACATCAAAGAGCTGTTCCGCCTGTTTGAGGACTTTGTGGATGTCGTCGGTCTGAGAATGAAAGACTTTCAGGACATGTATGAAGTGACTGACAACATAGGTAAGCCTTGACAAATACTTATGTGCATTGCCATTGCTAAGATATTCTTAGGTAATATGTTAATAACGTTGTCATTTTTGCTCTAGTTTTAAGCATCCACAAGCGTCCTGTGCTGAGTAATGCAGATATCAGCTTCCCGATGAAGGGTTGGAGAGGCATGGTGGATTGGGCTCGCAACTCAGAGGACAGAGTCATCATCCCAAAACACATCCTGCTAACAGCCAAGCCAGGTTGAGTGCTGCACACATTACACCAGCTACAGTATGTGTAGGGTGATTGATTGATTGATTGATTGATTGATTGATTGATTGATTGATTGATTGATTGATTGATTGATTGATTGCCACTTGAGGCACGGTTCCTCTAAAATAATTATTGCAACTGTAATGCTTCCATGATTGGCGAGCAGGAGCACCTCCACATGGGAAAGAAAGAAAGACAGAAAGAGAAAGAAAGAAAGAAAGAAGATATACAAAATAGTTCAGTACCATTGTGGAAGCTATGATGAAACAAAAGCATAGCAGGGGGGAAAAAAATAGCTGTATCAGTGTCAATATCCATAAGCTTAGGTTTCACAGAAGGACACAGGGGGCATGTCCCTTGCACATTTTCAGAGGTGAGTTTTTGGCTTTTTTTTTCCCATCCAAAAACCATGTAACACGATAATAAATGGAGACATGACAAACACTCGGCTTCGTTGGCCCAATTACATCAGTTCGTAAAGTCAACATACTAATAATGTATGGCTGTAGTTTGGAGACCCCTAATTTAAGATATGTTTGTTTTATGCTGATCCAAACAGAAGATGCAAAAGTGGTATATCGTCTCCACTGTTGATTTCACGTTAATACAAGAAAATACTGTCTGCATACTCTTGTTTGCAGACAGTATTAATTTAATTTAAGACAGTATATAATTACACACACAGACAGTGTGTGTAATTCTACTGTGTCTGTATGCCAGGTGGCTAGTGGTGCTGTGATGTAACTCCACCAAGTTCTTGTGTATGCGTAAAATCTCCCTTCGTCTCTGATCTGCGCTCTATTTTAGTAATGGTAGATGAACAGAGTCTGGAAAACATCTACGTACAATATAACCTTCCATTGTCTGTATAAAACTACTAAACTGTTTTTTTTTTCTTTTTTTCATGTGTGGGATATTGTGGTAGCTATAAAGAACACTTTTTGACTTGACTTGCACTTTAACCACTGATAGTAAACTTAATTTTGGGGCTAAAAACCGGTCAATTTATTTTGTTATTTCCAGGAAGCTTTACTATTTGCTTTTATACTGCAATGCTCATTGTGACTGATATGGAAACGTGACGAAAGTCACATTCGGTAGTTGTTCAGACGGGACACAACTGCTTATTGGGATTATGGTTGCGAGCATCTGGGGACGGTGACTGGACTGAGTGAGGTGCTGAAAATGTCAGTCAGGACATCTGCCACGTCGTCAGCACAAACTTTTAACACTCGTCCCACGATGTTGTCTGGGCCCTCTGTTTTCTGGGCTTGGCCCTGTTTAAATCCTCTTTGTGGTTGCTCAGATTGATGGTTAGAGCTGGCTGGTATGAAGGTGGTGAAGGGTATTCATCTACATAGACGCATATTGCTGCTGACAGTGGCATCCTCTGTGCCATGTTGCTAACAGATTCGGCAATCAATGATGGATAAAACCTCCGTACATTTGGCAACTGCTTCAGCCGTCGCTGATATTGGTGTAATCACCCTGAAAGGCAGCTGTCTTGAAATTTCTACCAGTCTGTATGATCTGAGGGCGCTCCTTCTGGCCATTCATTTTTTTGTTGTTTTTTTTTTTTCATCTCAGACCTGTTTGGCGTTGTCAGTGACTTGTCTGCTGGTAATAACATAATTTTGGTGCCCTAATTGGGCAAGGTGGGAGAGGCATGTCATGTTGTATGACTCTGGGATTTTTGTATCAAGAAGATCCCCTGTGTTCTCTCCCCTGATTATGCAGTCCACATATTTGAAATCGGGAGGTATTACTTTCCACATCAATTGGTTTTGATAAATGTGAATATAATACAGCCGACAAAAATAAATAAATAAATACAAATGAGAAACGAAGTGAGTGTAAAAGCCAAGATCTGTCTGAGTCATAGCCTGTCACGAAGTTCAACGATGCCAGTTCCTAAATGAAGCTGATCATCAGTGACTGTTCCTACAGTGTGACTATTTTTCACATTCTAATAGACACCGCCAATTTATGGAAATATTGTGCATTGTAGAGAGCAACAAAGTCAAAGTAAAAATTAAGCTTGCAGTGCACTGTTCAAACAAGCCAACCTCATTCTGAAGAAATCATTTGAATCACTGATTTATGTTACCTTCAGGCAAGTTTTTTTTTTTTTTTTGGGACACAGACAATCTGGCTTATACGTTTCAGATACGCCAGACTAAATTTAGATGAATAGGAAACATAAAATATCAACTCATTTCCACATGTACACGCGCGACTCACTTGGTTCACCCCGGATGGCCACGAAAGCTCAGCTGTTGCCCGGGAGCTACATTCTCTGCCTGCAGCCTGGCATACTATGAAGCTATCATATAGTGTCCTAGAAGAGGGGAGCTGGATGTTTTCAGATGGCTCAGCAGATGGGAGTTGTTTTTCACCCTTGACACATCAGCGGGAAATAAGTGTTCTTCTTGCCTGAGGCCTCTCTGTACCTGTGCCACATTTGATCCTTCCCTGCTGTCTGTCTGTATATCTAATCAGGAGTGGAACAGTTCACAAAATCCACATTTCAAAACGTATCAGTTTTGCGCCCACAGTTTTCGGTTCGGGACGTGTTCACTCCTGTGCAATTCGGTTAAAAGAGAAAGTATGAATTACTATTACTGTTGTTGTATTATGATTTATATATATTTTTTGTTCTTTCTGTGCCAGGCAGAACAAATAAATGCTATTCATTTGATTGGCAAAACGTACAATCAACTTGTGTATCCGCCCGTTGCCGTTCATACATCAGAATAAGTATCGACTTCCTGCAACAATATCAGCTTTGTGTTCAACTTTCAAGTCCAGATTTCACGCTATTTAAGTAGATTTCGGGCTAAATTGAGAAACAATCATTACAGTGTGTCAATATGCATACTTTTTATATTTTTGTTGGGTGGTTTACCGCGATATTTTTCTCATGTAAAATGGGTGCAATGGCTTGACAAAAAAATGGATTAAAAAATGAAAATGAACAAATTATATGATTCTAACTTTTAGTTTTAACGATCAGAATATTCTCAAATTAAAGTGATCTTGGGAACATGAAGTGAATATGTGTCCAAGGGAGTCAATCGAAAGCAACATTCATAGTTGACTAGTCATGTAGGCCACCTCGATTCTAAAGAGCTGGAGGAATTGAAGCAGCATGGGTGAGCTGCCTTTTCCTCAGGCAAAGGTTGTTCAAACAATGACGGCAATATTGAAATTCTAAATTCTGACCCTGACAGATTTATTTTCATTTTTTTCTCTCTCCTGATCTTTCTGTGTTTCTCAGATTCAGATGACTCCTCGACATTTGTGACAGGTATCATTCTGTACAGAAACTTGGGAAGCGTTCTGAATTTGCAAAGGTAAGGCCATTGTTTAATCAAATGAATTAAAGTCTACGTATCTAATAAATGTCGTAGTCATTACTTTAAAATGTTGTAGATCACATTTTGTATTTTTTCCACACACAATGATGTCAACTAGAACACAGAGCACCATCTCAGGCTAAGCGTCTTTGAGCAATATCCTGAACCCCCAGTTGCTCCTGATGCTGCATAATCAGTAGGGTGAATGAGGAAATGTGTTAAGCACCAAGATTACCTAAGGTAGAAAAGTGCCATATAAGTGGGGGAAAAAAATTATCTGATGGCTGTCTTTTTTTTTTTTTTTTTTTTTTTTGCTTGTTTGAAGATTGACACACTTTTAATGGACCTTATTTTTATTGTTTAATGGTCTATGCTTGCCCTGCATGGAAGCTATTACAGCTGGTGTTTTTTTTTTTTTTAATGATTATGTGATTTGGACAGTTGCGGGTTCAGAAATTACTATTCGCCATGCCTGTCCATGTATGCTGCAGTTCCATCGGTATCTATCCAATAAATAATTGGATTTGTAAAAAAAGTGCCCAGGGTGACAGCCCCATCTCCGTCTGCCTATGGTTTAAGTCACAGCATTTGCATACAATATGTCCAAGTACTTCCGGTAAGAAATCTCCACTTTGTAGTTGTAGAACGTTTTATGATCTCGTCGAAACATACAGAATTGGGCAAATTAAACCTTGAATCTCATCAATTCTCCCATGTTTGTTCCGAGTCTTGGAACTGCTTTCATCTTCCAAATCTCCTCTTCACCCTGCCATTTCATTTCATTCTTATCTTCTTTCATTTTTGCATTTGATTTGCCCCTCCAGCTAAATGAGATGAGTTTGAGGCAAGAGACTAGATGACATGAAAGATTATCGTGACAGATTGTGTTTTGGACTGGTGAAAGGGTGATTATGGTTAAAGCATACACTGACGCTGTGAGGAATCAAAAAGAGGAGCAAGATTTGAACGTGTTTGGCTGTCTGGAAGCATTCGGCATGCCACCCCCATTAGCGATTCATTTCCTTGTGATTGTCTCTTTCCTCATGATTGATGGATTCTGTGAAAAACAAGAATCACAAATAGGGGAAGAGGGTATAAAATAAAATGGCATAAAATGATATGAAGCTATTGCAAAACAAATCTGCTAAGCTTCTCGTGCAAGACACAAAAGAATTGAGAAATTGGATTGCTTTACCTGAAACATAAACTCAGCAGCTAAGTACACATGCATATCGACAACTATACTGGACCAGCTGTATTATGTTCTGTCTTTTACGCTAAACAATAAGTTGAGCAATTGTTTTTGTTGTTTGAAGTGTTTAACTGCACAGTATTATACTGAGTACAGTTGGTCATATTTTGTTCCTCAATTTAGCGACACGAGAGGGGCAAAATCTAAAACCTCTCACCATCATTGAGGTCATTTTCACACAATCTGTAACCGTAAGACGTGATGGAGCATGCGGTGTTTTTATGTTTCAATTAGGCTTTGGTGCAAATGGTTAGCACGCTCAATGGGATGTGAAGCATCATTGGACTAGCAAAAGTGTAACGTTCCAAAAGTGTTTATTTTCTGACCTCATGGTTTTCACATGATTCGTTAGATTTATTTATTTATTTAATTCATTATCAAAGGTGCCATTGAATTTGTTACAGACATTCAAAGTCCACGAGATTCCGTTCTTTCTGACGGGAATCATCCCCTCATAATTTGTGAAGATTCAGCAGACGCAATTGTCCGTTTTATATTGGTTATGATCACGAAATTATGTCGACTGGCTAGCATGTCCACCTCACAGTGCAGAGGTCAAGGGTTCGATTCCGGCTCCAGCCTTCCTGTGTGGAATTTGCATGTTCTCCCCGTGCCTGCGTGGGTTTTCGCCAGGTACTTTGGTTTCCTCCCACATTCCAAAAACATGCATGCCAGGTTAATGGGACACTCTAAATTGTCCCTAGGTAAGAGTGTGAGTGCGGATGGTTGTTCGTCTTTGTGTGCCCTGCGATTGGATGGCAACCGGTTCAGGGTGTCCCCCGCCTACTGCCCGAAGACGGCTGGTATGGGCTCCAGCACGCCCGCTACCCTCATGAAGATAGGTGGGTTAGAAAATGCATAAATGGATGGATATTGTGACTGCAAATTGGCATCTATGCAGCATTTTGAGATTTTACATTCAAATTTCCTTGACAAATAGATCTCTTTTGTTTGTCATTACATACAATTTTCTCAAGTAAACATCTTATTAGCACTTGTAATATGATTTACTGTAAATATAGAGTATGTATGTGAGACTACAAAATCAATGGTTTTGCTCATGTGCGTTGGGACGTAGTTGGATGTTGCCGTGGAACTCCATTCAGTGCATGTATGCACATTTTGTCGTTATTATTTTGGAGTTTTACTGCAGTTTTTCACTTTTCATTTCACTTTTATAACTATTCAACAATTTACATTTTGGGAAGACATCACAATAAACTGCTGTTATTTTAAGTGCACCTTTGGTTTTTAAGGAGGCTGAAAATAACTCTGCTTCAACAACAAAATGGAATAGATATATTGTCATTTTTTCATCAAAATTCTACCTGTGCAGTTCGTCATGACAATGTGAAACAAGTTTTTGACATTTGAGAAAATCCAATATTCACAGCATTCATGTAAATGGATTTCACTTGTATAGATAGCTCTTTCTACATTTCAGGTTGAAAGAGCTGAATCTCTTTTAATCTCACCTCATTCACAAACTGACTGATGGAGTGTGTAGTCATGATTTGACAGATTTCATTCACAACGGGGCATTTACTGTCTTCTTCAAGAATACTTCAAGGGAGCCAGGGATCAAACCCACAACCTACCCAAAGTTGAGAGACGACCCAATTGACCAGCCATACCTTGCCAACCTGTGTGCATATGAATCAGGATGGGTGAATCACATCATCCTGATTCAAATTCAAAATGAGTCATTTGTCGGCGATAGTTGATGTCACTCTTATAGCAATAAACACGATATATAACAGAAATATACATTTAGCATACAACGTCTCCATAAAGTATAGAAAAGTTGATGATATGTACAATATACAACAGAAGTGTGCAAAATTATGGAAAAGTGACAATCCTATTTATGGACTAATGCAGGAATACTGATGCTTGAGATGTACAAAAGAAAAAAAAATGTCAGTGTTACTGTGATTTGTTTGAAACATTTATGGCAATGGGAACAAAGCTGTTAGAGGCTATTGCATGGGGGCCCAGAATTTGGTGAAGGGGAGACCTGTTGTTGGAAGGATGCTAGTTTCCCTCCCGACTGACAATTAGGCATTTTCAAGACACTGCGTCTTCAACTGGACCAGTTATTTCTATATATTAGAAAAAAGGCTAATATTTGACAATTCATGTGAATACACTGATCATGTCGATGACTTTTCACAATGCTCAGCAAACAGATACAGAAAATGTCTCAATGGCATGCTTTTTTTCTATTAAACTCTGCCAGCGTTTACATTTTCAAATGACAAAATTCCAAAGATCTATTTGTCCCAGTATGTGCGCTATTTTAAAACAGACCTGCGGGTTACTCATGTGGTTCTCGGCGGCTACCTGGTGCAGGTGGGCACCACGTTGGTGACCCCTGATGTATCACCGCGTATGTTCAGCGACAAAGTGGAAGAACTTTTTGGGGGCTGAGGCTAAATATTGCCACAGTGAAATTCATTGTTTTTCTCTTTCTTCCTCTTTTCTCAATGCAGAAACGGCACTATACTCAACTCCAAGATTGTATCCGTCACCATTAAACCCACTCCTGCTTCCCTTTCTGCTCCCGTTACAGTTGAATTCTCTCACTTGTACAACGTGAGTCAAATCAATGTTTCAGAAGAGCAAGCAAATAGAGCAGCTAGTGCCTTTTTATATTCATTTTACAATTGTTTCCTCCAATAGGGCACCACGAACCAGACATGTATATCCTGGGATGAGAATGAAAGGTAAGATAAGTTTTAATATTTATTTGCTAACTCGCTTTCAGGCCAATCTATTCAATGCATTAAAAAGATTCCAACTTGAGCTATACTTACGGTTGCTATGTTCAGATTCTCCTCAGATAAAGAAATTGAAAAGTTTACTTGGCACATGTGGTTGACGGACTGGGAAAGGAAAATGCTACCAAAAAAATATAGACATAATAAATCAGTTTTCTGAAATATTTAGCAACATAAGTCTTTTTTTATGCTTTTGTTGAGTTTCAAACTGCTCCTCCAAGCGGCAGTTTTCTACAGTGTCCCCGGCTCTTGTTATTTACAAACGTGCATATTTTACAGACACATCTGACCACATAGGGCGGCCCGATGGTTGAGTGGTTAGCGCATCAACCTCACAGTGCAGAGGTATTGGGTTCGATTCCAGCTCCGGTCTTCCTGTGTGGAGTTTGCATGTTCTCCCCATGCCTGCGTGGGTTTTCTCCGGGTACTCCAGTTTCCTCCCACATTCCAAAAACATGCATGACAGGCTGATTGAACACTCTAAATTGTCCCGAGGTGCGAGTGCGAGCGCGGATGGTTGTTCGTCTTTGTATGCCTTGCGATTGGATGGCAACCGATTCAGGGTGTCCCCCGCCTAGTGCCCAAAGACGGCTGGGATAGGCTCCAGCACACCCCGTGACCCTTGCGAGGATAAGCGGATCAGAAAACGGATGGAGGGATTTATATCATGTAGCGAACATAATATCCCACACATGAAAAACAATCAAACAATGTAAACAATAGTTTTATATAGACAATGTAAAGTTATATTGCACGGTCAATGTTTTTACGCCACTCTGCGCTATACTGAATATCATTTCTGTCATCCAGCTTTCCATATTGGAAGGAGTCCACTCCTTTGATGAAATTAAAGCTTTACAAGTGCTGCAATCCCTGGTATCAACTTTTCACTCGTCCAGAATCAACAAACACTTCTTCTGTGTTACATCATCACTCATTTAAGAGGAATGGATAAGCGGAATTGTCCTGCAAGCAACAAAGTGCTTGCTCAGCATCAAATCAAACAGTAGCCAATGACAATGGTCATTCTTGTTTTGGAGTGACGTTTGGTTGGCAAATCAGCTCATTTGTGTATTAACCCCAACAACTGGGGTGAAGTGTGGAGCAGTTTCTCAGCAATAAAGAAAATGTTCAAGAATAATGTATTTATTTATTTATTTATTTATTTTGAACAGCAAATTCACTGGTCGCATAGGCGAGTAGATGAAAAATGTACTTGCACTGTCTTGAAATTTAGGGGCAAAATGCTTCAATTTCGGGGTATTGATGCAGCGTCTCAGCTGAATTTGGATGGTTGTTAAATGTACACACTCAACTAGTTGCCAGACAATCACAGTGTTTTGTCTTGTTTTTTAATCTTGACTGGATAAATACTCCTGCATGTTTATCTGAAATATGAACAATTTGTCCATCTGGATAACAAAGTTGGAAACTATTTGGCGCCTATATTATCCCAGCCAAATAAAACATAATTTGATGAGATTTTGTAGAGACAAGCACATACCTGTCAACCTCGGCTAATACCTGCCCTTATAAATGATTACGATTCCCCTTACAAAGCAGCAAAAACCCGTACAACGGCTTACCGCACATGCGCACATCATGCTTTATCAATCCGACCGTACGCAGCGATGAAAAAAAATATACGATTGAGGATTACTTTTGCTGGTTTGCCGTGACAATAGTAGCCATCGACGACGGCATTGTCGTTGGCTGCCAGCAGGTGAGACGATCTGGATTTGAGCCAAAATGGTCTTTGTGAGATGGTTCACAATTGTTTTTGTTTTTTTTTTCGTATAAAAGTTGTAATACGCCGTGCATGATTTGAAATGATAAAAAAACGTATAAAATACGGGGAAAACGTACAAGTTGACAGGTATGCAAGCATCTGGCTTACTGTATTTCCCTTCTTAACTTTGATTTTCTGGAAGATGTGCAAGACGTGTGAAACGAAGATGAAAATGAAATTCAGTGTGATTTTACAGCTTCTGATCCTTCATAGCAAAGCAAACTGATTTCAAGTCAAAATTGCTTTAAAGTTTTTTTTTGCCCAATTACAATATTTGGAATACATGAAATATGTCATAATCATTTAGTGTCTCGCCAAAATGTTCTGGGAAGATCTTTACAGACCAATCACAAACAATCTTGGTTTGATATGGAAAAATATTAAACTGAATATATTAAGGTGCACTGAATTATACAGTGTGTGCAAATGTCATGTCCTTGGCAAGGGTAAATTGAAATCGATTTAAGCTACTTGAAGTGAAGATGCTGACATGAAAATATAACCCTTGACTTCAATCAAAAAACAAAGTCTATTGTTTAAATACTGCAAAAGGGCAGTTACTGTATTTTAAAAACACAATAGCCTATATTTAACGATGCAGTGTTTGCACTCGTTTTATGTTTGGATTTGGATAATACCGTTGTAGTTATTTGTAATAATGTTTGCTTGTTGTTTCTTTTCTTTTTTTTTACAAAAACCATGATGTTTTTATACAAAAACCACACTGCTACTGTTGTTTTGTTTTTGTTTTGGGTTTTCTTTTTTGCAAATAAATGTGTCCACGCAGAAACCTGCAGCGCGCCGCCCCAGAGCCTCCTCATCACCGCATTCGCGTCTCTTGCTGCGCCTTAGATTGCAAATAACGAAGATAAAGTGGATTAAGTAGCGGGTCTATCGCTGTGGGGTTCTCGCTGCATTCTTTGCCTTTTGCCAACGCTATTTTGACTGCATCGCTTCCTTTTATGTGTGCGTGTCGATGTAGCTCCTCTCTGCTGGGATCCTGGTCTGCTAGGGGCTGCAAAACCGTGCTCGTCGATGCACTCAGAACCAAATGCCTGTGTGACAGACTGTCCACCTTCGCCATTTTAGCACGACTTCACCCCGAAATGGTAAGTGTCACCTTCGCTTGATATCGTCAAAAGAATGCGCAGCGGACTCTGTGTCTTTTAGTGTGGTGTAATGTCCACGCACCAGCCCCCCCTTTTTTTCAACCCAGGGCGTCATTGTCATTACATTATCAACAGATCCTCCCCCTCTCCCCATCTTTGTCACTATCTCTCTTGCCTCGCCAGGCCAAAGCAATGCTGCAAAAAAAAGACAGAATTTACCGAAGCTTGCTGACCATAACTAGCTATTATTTATGTCACCAATTTAAGGATTTCGTTGCGTTTGGGCAATTGGGGGGGGGGGCAGCGTGATGGTAGATTTGCAGTATTAGATGTTCACCGCTGGTTATCTCATTAGTCATTCTTGTTTATGTTCACATGATCCCATGTTCTTGTGAGGCTGTAATGTTTTGAGATACAGCGTGCCACAACACAATTCCTTCACAATGTGGCTGCAGCTGAGCACAGCGAAGCAGAAATGTGTCATCATGGGAAACAGTGTCTGAAAAATCGGAATCGGACTCAAACGTACCACCATTCTCATCGGGGAAAGTATACACTTTCTCAGTGGAGAGTGCTGGTGTATTGCTATTAGTTATTATTAGACTGTAAATTGCTTGAAACGTATGGTTTTTTTGCGCTGGTTACCCTGGTAACATAATTTGTTCCCATAAAGAATTACATAGAAGGCATGGTGCTGTTTTGACCTCTACCTGTACAGCTCGAACGGAAGGCTATGTTAGGCCAAATGAACAGAGAGCAGAAACACGAGGGGTGGGAGATATAACTGAAACATATATCACAATATAAATATTTAATATCGGTCAATATTATTCTTATTATTTATTACTTTTGAAAATAAGGACGCACAGAAAAAAAAGGCTGAATTCCGGTCATTTTGTTTTAACACATAACATTGAACAAATCAAATAAACTGGTCAACATAAAGGTGAAATAAATGCCTTTTTGAACATTATGTGCTTAGTAGGGCTTGGGCGATAATGGCTGAAAATATTTCACAATAAAAGGATTACATATCAGTCAATGTGGCTAATTATTGATTTTAAAAATCCATAAGAAAAACAGTGAACTGTTTTGTGTACACTGGAATGTAGTTTAATGTGCAAAGTTGGTCCTCCAGCAGTGCACTGTAAATGCTTGTTTGCAGAAGACACTACCCCAAAGCAGTATCTAGCTATCGTGAATAGTTACATTAACCTTAATTTAATGTTCATACTATGTCAGTGTAGTGACCTAATACTCTCTTGCAGTGCATGTACAGTGCCTTGAAAAATGATTTGCCCCCTTCCTGATTTCTGTGTTCTTTGCATATTTATCACACACAACGATTTCAGTTCAACGGACCAGTTTTAATATCACACAGAGAAAACCCAAGGAAAACCAAAATGTAGTTTCTAAATGCCAATTTATTTAGACACACACACACACACAAAAGAAATCGAACTTTTATGCCACCTTTCCTTAACCTTGGGCAGAAAAAAAAAAGTTTTTAGAAAGCACATTGGTATTTTTCATTGGGTCTTTTTCCTTCTGCTTACTTGTTGACCCATCTGGTTGTTGTGTTGTGTAAAAAGAAAAAAAATCCTAATGTGCATTCAAAAAAGTTTAGTTTTTTTTCTTGTTTTTCAAAAATATTGAAGAATGACTTTGGCAATCATGCTAACGTGGCCAACGATATCCTAAACCTCTCACATTCAGTCACCATTTTCGCCACTTGCATATTTTTATAAACTAAGACGTAACTAGGCAGACTTAGTGCACTTGTCCACAACTCCGGTGTTTTGGAGAAAGTGGGCGTGTGTTTCGTCTGAAGGGGCGGTTCGTGGGTATCTCCTCACGTGACATCAAAAAGTGAGGACCCAGTTGTTTTCTTGGATCCTTGGATTGGATGGGGCTGGTGCTGAGATTGGCAGAATGAGCAGGAATGCTCTGAGGAAAACGCCATTTTGGGGTGGGGTTCGTGTGTGTGTGTGGGGGGGGGGCTGTTGAGGAATTAGCATTTTAATATGGTTAAAAGCTCAAAAGTTGATTTAGCATCATATGGCCCCTTAAATAATATTATGAGCACAACTTTTGCTCCTGTTTTTTTTTTTTTTTTTTAATGACCATTCAGACCTATTTTAATATTGGTCAGGAGGGTGATACTTGGCGAGCTCGCAATTTTATTTTAGTGGTACTTGTGTGAAAAGTTTGGATTAAATTAGTATACGATTTTATTTTTTCTCTGGCATTTTTGAATGCAGCCATTCCTTGACTGTTGACTGCCTCCAACATTGCAAACTAGCTGTTTGGTCAAGGATGACAGCAAGGCAAACTCCTCTTCTTCCTCTTGTTGTTGATGCCTCCTCTGCAATCTGTTTTTTTAGATATCCATGGGCCCCATGCCAATTATCTGCTGTGAATTTCTTAGTAGTTTCTAAATGGCCCAGCCAGTCTGTCTGTAACTAGCCTCCTACGGCCCCAGAATAATAAACACCTCACTCCTTTTTTCACTTGTACTTTCGATCTTCGTTTGTACCCCTCAGTCATTTTTTTCTCTCTGATGCCGCATTACATTTCCACTTCCCATCTTTACAGCATACATAACCTATTACTCTCTTGCTGTTATTTCTCATGCTTATTTTGCTCAGCCCAAATTTGCTGTGGGCATTTATATTTCAAAAAAAAAGAAAAGAAAAGAAAAAAGAAAACATGCACTGCATTTTAAAGGCAGAGGCTCGGAACCTTAGCTTATCCCATCTAGAACTGTGTGTGTGTGTGTGTGTGTGTGTGTGTGTGTGTGTGTGTGTGTGTGTGTGTGTGTGTGTGTGTGTCAATGGATGATATATTGATTTCAATGATTTGCTGATTTGGAATTGGGCTGGGTGAATCTCGCTCAAAAGTTTTGTTTTGTTTTTGTTTTTTATTTCTGATGTTTTAGAGCCCAATAGCAATAAGCATCATGTTTGATGAATGTTTTCAAAGTAGGAAAGTCAAACCAACATGTCAGTGAAAAAGTTTTCCCTCACTATTTAAAAAAAATATGCAGTTGTACATCAAAAGTAAAATAAAGGTGAATGAAATGAAAAATGTTTAGTTAGTACAACAATAAGTGTGTTTGCGTCTACTTGTACGTAACACCACAACAAAAGGAAAAAACTAAGATAAAAGTCTCATGCTTTGATTTATGTGGTATAAGTTAATATCTTATCTGTAACAACTTGGGATTCGATCAACATAAAAATGCCAACTACTGTTGAAATCAATTCTTCTTCTTCTTATTATTATTATTTGCAAAATCAAAGCAAAGCAAAAATCCAAAATCAAGGGGGTTATTGCATATAGAATAGATTTAAGGAAAAAAAGTATTTGTACCATTGTTTAGACCTCGGAGTTGTAACAAAAAAGTGTACTTTGAGTTCAATATAATTTTTAATCGCTAATGTTATCCGTTTATATATAATATTGTCTCGGTTTTGACATAATTCCCCTACAGAACTAAGACGGATTTGTATGTGCTCCTGAAGCGCGTTTCGTGTTCTGGTCTATCGCTTTACTAAATTATTTATCTCCTCAGGCTCACGTAATTTTAAGAAGTATGTTCAAGAAAGTGTTCTGTGATATAACTCTGAGCCTACTTCTTCTGTTCGTTGATTCCACAGCGATACACTTCTTGCTGCTCACGAGGGCGGGGCAATTATTGAAAAAAATAATAATCATTTTTGTTTTGATTGAAATTGAAATCACGATTAATAAGATAATTATTAATTGATTTCAGAATGCTGTATTTATTCAACTACTAAAACCCAAGTCAAAACTATCATCATAGCCTGATGCACATTCACCCCTGCACATCACACTTTATTCTCGAACACTCTGTTCTTTTTGTCAAGTACAAAATGATCTTGTCAATATTTTAAATTCAAGTCTCTTGCATTTTTACTCTGCCACATCCACAACTTTGATGCCTTGCATCTTCACACACATTGAAGCTGTGAATAAGCGTGACCCTGATCTATTTATCATATTTATTTTTATCTTTTAGGATTTTCACAAGTCTTGGGACTTAATGGGCTAACCTGGGACCTTGGGGATTATATTTCATGTCATATCATGTGGAAATGTGTGTTGGTATGACCAAAAAAAAGAATCCTTGGATCTTTGTATCCTTGAATTTTGAGGAAAGGAACATTTCTTTTAATATATCTTGAAACAACAAAAAGTAAATCGATTAGTAAGAAAGTAAAATAAGAATATCCTACAATAATAGCAATTAACAAAACCAAATACCAGCTTTTGCTGCACGTGTTGGCCTCTTAGGCGCATGTGGTGCCATGCACCGATGGATTATACACTTACAATGAGATAAGAAGGCAGTTGCGATTGAGCTCTATAAATATAAATTGTTTTTCACAGATTAGGAAACGTGTGCCTTTGAGTATTATGTTACCTGTGTGTATGTTTCCACAGCGTTTCTCAGTAAAAAATCGTTATTTGAAATCCTGCTAATTCATCTCTAGCATTTCAATGGGATATTACATTGACTTTAGCAATAGCACTCACAGTGTTTTCGAAAATGAAGCATGGTTTGTATTTCAATATACAATGTGTGTATTTATTTATTTTTTTTTTGTGTTTGGTGTTACGGTAAACTCCAGCTTGGTGCCATTAAACATCTTAATTACGCTCAGGAACGGAATAATTACTTACACTACATGCTTGCTACACAAGCAACATGATGCATACTTTCACACCACACCGTTCTGCACATTAATAGATTTTCTATTATTACAATGTTTTAAAAATCGAGATAAGAAATTACATTTCCATTAGTCGTCCATCCCTACTACTCACCAAGAATCATGACGGAGTTGTGAAGTGATTTCTCACGAATGGTTCGGGGTGGCGAAAAGTAAAAGGGTGTTCATAAAAACAAATATTTCTTACCAGATTTCATGTTTTGTATAAAAACGGCTCCAAGGGAGCAGCAGCACCAGTGGATC